TTACTGAAATGAAAAATATACTGTCTCCAAATCCCAATGAGGCCCATTGGACATTGTGTCACTTCTTTGGTTATAAGAGGGGACAGACATAAGATGTATTTTTCACCCTACAAGGGATAGTTTCACCTGCCCTGTACAACTGTGTTGTAATTTTCTACTCTGAGTGTCTCTCAGTGGATCAATTCAGTTCAGTTCAGTCACTCAGTCGTGTCCAACCATTTGCGACCCCATGGACTGTGGCACGCCAGGTTTCCCTGTCCATCACCAATTCCCAGAGTTTACTCAACACATGTCCATTGAGTCAGTGATGCCATCCAACTACCTCATCCTCTGTCATCCCCCTCTCCTCCCGCCTTCAACCTTTCCCAGCATAAGGATATTTTCCAATGAGTCAGTTCTTCACATCAGGTGGCCAAAGTATTGGAGTTTCAGCTTTAGCATCAGTCCTTCCAATGAACACCCAGGACTGATCTCTTTTAGGTTGAACTGGGTGGATCTCCTTGCAGTCCAAGGGACACTCAAGAGTTTTCTCCAACACCCAGTTCAAAAGCATTAATTCTTCTGTGCTCAGCTTTCTTTAGAGTCCAACTGTCACATCCATACATGACTACTGGAAAAAACCTGACTACACGGAAATTTTTTGGCAAGGTAATGTCTTGACTTTTTAATATACTGTCTAGTTTGGTCATAACTTGTCTTCCAAAGAAAGTCTTTTAATTTCATGGCTGCTGTCACTATCTGCAGTGATTTTGGAGCCCAAGAAAATAAAGTCTGTTACTGTTTCTCCACTTATTTGCCAGGAAATGATGGGACCACATGCCATGATCTTAGTTTTCTGAATGTTGAGCTTTAAGCCAACTTTTTCACTCTCCTTTTTCACTTTCATCAAGAGATTCTTTAATTTTTCTTTTTCTGCCATAAGGATGGTGTCATCTGCATATCTGAGGTGACTGATATTTCTCCTAGCAATCTTGATTACAGCTTGCTTTTCATCCAGCCCAGCATTTTTCATTATATGTCCTGTGTATAAGTTAAACAAGCAGGTTGACGATATACAGCCTTGACGTACTCCTTTTTCCTATTTGGAACCAGTCTGTTGTTCCACTCCCAGTTCTAACTGTTGTTTCCTGACCTGCATAGAGATTTCTCAAGAGGCAGTTCAGGTAGTCACATATCCCCATCTCTTTAAGGATTCTCCACATTTTGTGGTGGTCCACACAGTCAAAGGCTTTGGCATAGTCAATAAAGGAGAAATATATGTTTTTTTCTGCAACTCTTTTGCTTTTTCAATGATCCAGCAGTTGTTCTTCTGCCTTTTCTAAATCCAGTTTGAACATCTAGAAGTTTATGGTTCACGTACTGTTGAAGCCTGGCTTGGAGAACTTTGAGCATTAGTTTACTAGCGTGTGAGGCGAGTGCGATTGCACAGTAGCCTGAGCATTCTTTGGCATTGCCTTTCTTTGGGATTGGAATGAAAGCTGGCATTTTCCAGTCCCATGGCCACTGACGAGTTTTCCAAATTTACTGGCATATTGAGTGCAGCACTTTCACAGGATCAACTTTTAGGATTTGAAATAGCTGAACTGGAATTCGATCACCTCCACTTGCTTTGTTCATAGTGTTGATTCTTAAGGCCCACTTGACTTTGCATTCCAGGAATTTCTGGCTCTAGGTGAGTGATCACACCATTGTGATTATCTGGGTTATGAAGATCTTTTTTGTACAGTTCTTCTGTATATTCTTTCCATATCTTCTGCTTCTGTTAGGTCCATGACATTTCTGCCCTTTATTGAGCTCATGTTTGCATGACATGTTTCCTTGGTGTATCTAATTTTCTGGAAGAAATCTCTAGTCTTTCCCATTCTATTGCTTTCCTCTATTTCTTTGCAGTGATCACTGAGGAAGGCTTTCTTATCTCTCCTTGCTATTTTTTTGTAGCTCTGCATTCAAATGGATATATCTTTCCTTTTCTCCTTTGCCTTTCTCTTCTCCTCTTTTCACAGCTATTTGTAAGGCCTCCTCTGACAACCATTTTGCCTTTTTGCATTTCTTTTTCTTGGAGATGGTCTTGATTCCTGCCTCCTGTACAATGTTATGAGCCTCTGTCCATAGTTCTTCAAGCACTCTGTCTATCAGATCTCAGTGGATCAGAACACATCTTTTGGATTTCTCTTTATTCATCAGTAAAGCCTTGGCAGCTATCAATGTATCTGTTACATTTCTTTGGTTCAAAAATGCTTGTTATTTAATGAATGAAGAACAAACAAGATGAATGGATTATGTTTAGAATAAAATCGCCTTTTGTAAGACAAAGCTACATACTTTTCAAACTGCTTTTCATAAGAGCTATGTATTACATGAAAGTGAGAGGGTAACAGGCAGGACGGCTAGGGGTCTCCAAATGGAGGAAACGGCTGGGAGTGTCAGACGTTCTTATCTCTCTCTTAAGTGGCAGGAGGAGACAAACTACAAGTGTCAGATTTTCTTCCCTTCTCTATACAAAATTAAAAGGAGGTTTCTCTTAAAATTCTGTTGCCATAATGACACCTGGCTCCACCTAAACTTAACTTTTCTCAAACCTTGAGCTAATCAATGCCTTTTTCTTATGGAACTGTTTTTCATTAGTTATGTTAATGAATTATATATTTACCCTAGACTCTGTCTTTCTTCAAGTTGGTTCAGCTTAAGACTCAAAACAGATAAGGGTTCAACAAATCTGTATGTTTTACTGTTGCATTGTTCTCCTAATCTATGTTAATGAAACTATATGTTTACTTGGAAACCTGCCTTTCTTCAAGATTTATGCCCATCATTTTATGGCCTGGGGTGGCTCACCTGGTGCCAATGTTATCTCAAAATGCATACTGTGGGTGAGGGTCCTGGTGCCACTCTGAGCTTTGAGACATCTCCTTTCTCAACAGCTTTCTGATAGGTATATAACATACTGCTAAAGGCTCGCAGGGGGACACTGTTTTTCCCCCTTCTGATGTCTATGTCATAAACTTTATCTCTTTTATACTTTAATAAAACTTTGTTACACAAAAGCTCTGAGCAACTAAGCCTTGTCACTGGCCCTGGATTGAATTTCTCTACTCCGGAGGCCAAGAATCCCAGTGTCCTTCATGGCTCAGCAGCAACCTTTCAAAAGTAAACTTCCTAAAGAAAAAAAAAAAGTTCATAGGATGATAAAGCCTTCCTAAGAACAGGGAAACTATCAAGGTAGAATATTTGCTAATATGATGACATACTAAGTTTCTTTTCTTTTCTTTTTTTTTTTATTCCTAGACTAAGCAGGAGTAAAACAAATTGTGGTTTCCAAAAGAAAAAAAAAAATTGTCTCTGATTCTGTAACAGATAAGTTAGAAAAAATTTGCAAGTCTCCACTCATAGTTTTATCTTTATTTTAGTGAATGTTTTCATTTTCATTTATGCATATATTTATCATGAACTCGACTTTGTGCTATTTGCAGAATTTATCATGATGTCAAGCACTTAATGGAATATGACCATGTACTTGATACAATGAATATCCTACCTGACATTAAAACATTCTTTTACTTGAAACATCACTCTTTCTGTTGGTTTATGAGCCTAAGTTGGTGACATGACCTTTGCAGAATGATTTTTAATGCTGAAGGAAGTTTGTAAATGTGTTACATTTCTATTTACCCGTTAGTGGTTAAATAGTTCATTATTTTATATTCCTATAGTAATTACATACACAGTATTAGTCAACATATTCCCAGTGAGTGTGATGCATAAAGGGCTTTCCAGGTGGCACTAGTGTAAAGAACCTGCATGCCAATGCAGGAAACATGAGACTTGGGTTCAGGCCCTGTGTCTGGAAGACCCTCTGGAGGAGGGCACAGCAACCCACTCCAGTATATTCTTGCCTGGAGAATCCCATGGACAGAAGAGGCAAGTAGGCTACAGTCCATAGGGTGCAGAGTCAGACACAACTGAAGTGATTGGGCATGTACGCAAACATGATGTATAAAAATGGGCAGGTTTTTAATTCAAATCACTAGAATTTAGTTATATATAGTTATATATATATATAGTTTAGTTATATATAATTAAATATATAATATGCACATTATATACACAAATATGCACATAAGTAGCATATGTATTAATACTAATTGATTTCATACTGCAGTGGGTAGTGTTTCCCTTCTCCAGGAGATCTTCCCAAGGCAGGAATTGAGCTGGTGTCTCCTGCATTACAGGTGGATTCTTTACCAACTGAGCTATCAGGGAAGCCTTAATGAAAATCACTAGAATTTACTTATATATAATTAAACATATATGCACATAAGTAGCATATATATTAATACTAATATATAACTAATTTAGTACATAATATTGATAATATATATTGCATATGTATAAATATATATACATATATGTATGTACATTTGTATGTATATGGACAGAAAGATACACAAATAGTTAAGAACAATCCCTGTATTAATAAATAGTAACTGGTATAATTTTGCTATACTTCTATCGTCATCTCCTGGCTATATATATCACAGCGATTAATAACATGGTTAGAGAGGTCAAGTACTTTCTAGTTACTGGTTCTTCAATGTTACTGTTTGGGAACAAACTCTTTACTGCTTGTTTTCCGACATGCAAAATGGGGATGATAGTAGTGCTTACCTTTCTGTATTGTTAATAAGCTTACTGCTAAGTATCACTGTATCTTAACATTTATTTTATTTTGTTTTATTATGATGAAAGCTTATGAATCCTTATACAATAATGGAGAGAGTAAAACTAGACTCTAATTTGGCAGAACTTTTCAAATATGCAAACAGTAGTCCAAGGCTATGTTTTTCCTCTCTTTTGTTGACTCCATTTCTTCTCCTCTCTTTGCAGAATCGATCATTTGCAGTTTTATTCTTCTTTATATCATAGGTATTGTTGGCTGAGGTCATCAATAATGTCCTTTGGATTTTACATAAGTCGAATGAATGCTTGGTTCCATGCAAATTTTATGCATCACCTGAAATCACTTTCCCACTACACAATTTCCTAATGGCATTTTTCATGTGGTCATTTCTCAAAGTATAGATTAAAGGATTTAACATGGGAGTTATCATAGTGTAGAATACAGAAACTGCTTTATCAACAGGTAAAGTGACTGTTGGTCTCAGGTACACAAATAAGCAGGGCAGAAGAAACAGGATAACTGCTGTGATGTGGGAGACACAGGTGGAGAGGGCCTTACGTCTAGCCTCTAAGCTATGGGCCCTTAGGGAGTGCAGAATGATCACATAGGAGCCGATCAAGAGGAGGAAGTTTGAAAGGCAGATTAAACCGGTGTTGGCAGGAACAAAGAATCCTAGAATGTGAGTGTCTGTGCAGGCAAGATCGAGCAAAGGGTTGAGATCACACATAAAGTGATCTATGATGTTAGGGCCACAGAAGGGTAAACTGAGGATGAAGAGGATCTGTATGGTTGAATGAATAACACCCCCCACCCATGCCACCCACACTAGCACCTGACACAGCCGCCGATTCATGATGGTCGCATAGTGCAAGGGCTTACAGATGGCCACGTATCGGTCATAGGCCATCACAGTGAGCAGGATGACATCAGCACCTGCAAACATATGTTCCCCAAAGACTTGCATCATGCATTCATTGAAAGGGATGGTTTTCTTTTCATAGAAGGAATCTATGATCACTTTAGGGGTATTGACACAGGAATAGCAGGCATCAATGAATGAGAGATGAGCCAGGAAATGGTACATGGGGTACCCCCGTAATGGGCTGGTGATGATAGTGACCATTGTGAGCACATTTCCTACCATAGAGACAATGTAGACAACCAAAAAGACAGCAAATATGATTTTCTGCATCTTTGGATTCTGTGAGAGTCCCAGTAGAATAAACTCTGTCACGTTGTTTCCATTATCCATGTATCTTAGGTTATTATCAATTATGTTACCTGAAAAAAGTCACAATTTATTATCTCAATCTTGAATTGAGTGTCAATATAAAAAATAATAAATGCCCAGATTCTATTGAGTTCTGATATTTAATAATATGTTTTAAGACAGAAAAAAAAAGTCCTGATCTTTTGAAGATTATTAAAATTCTCTCCTGGGTGAAAGTGATTTTTAATATATAGATATGCAAACCCCTATGTGGACAGAAGCATGAGATGATCTCTAGGCCCTTAATCATGTGAGATGGTTCATAACCTAATGTGATTCAGTAGATTTCATGTAGAGTGGCAACAAAGGCTGAAAAGAGGGACAGAAAACACATGCAAAGCCGATGGATTCAAAACTGAGGAATTTCACTTTTACTGTTAGGAAATTGGAAGCCAGCACAAGTAATTGAGAATAGGAGTGTAAGATAGAGAGGGATTCAAAAAGAGGTCTTGGGTATAACTCTAGTAAAGGTGTTTGTATGTCTTGAATGAAGTGTCTTGAGGTTCAGTTTGGAGATAGAAGCCGGAGAAAAGAAACCCTGGCAACAGATTAGTTGTAATTGTTGACATAAAGTATAACAGTGTATTGCTCATGGGAAAGTAATGAAAAGATACAAGAGCTACTGAAATACATTTAAGAAAGCATATCGCCCAAATCTGGGCTTCTCCAGTGGTTCAGTGATAAAGATTCTGCCTGCAATGCAGGAGATGCATCTAGATTCGGGTTCAATCCCTGAGTCAGGAAGATCCCCTGGAGCAGGGCATGACAACCCACTCCAGTATTCTTGCCTGGAGAATCCCTTGGACAGAGGAGCTTGGTGGACTACTGTCTGTAGGGTCACAAAGAGTTTGAAGTCATTCACAACTGAGCAAGCATGCATCACTTAAATCCAACAGCTTTTTAATAGTTAATTACATACTTTTAATGATTGACTTCCATATGCATGGCATGGCAGCAACCTGTGCGAATGTTATTATTTCATTAGTTTTGCAGATGAGAAGCAATCTCAGAAAATCATGTTAATAATAAAAATAATGACAGTAATAATAAAAATATTATTACCATAAACTTCCTGAACACTTACTTTACTCTCAGGTATTTTGTAGGCATTTGTTTTTTTAATTCTTATTAAAAACTTATGAGATGATTCATACCCTCATTTTATGCTTATTTCACACATTAAGAAATATGAAGCAAAGAGAATTTAAGAATTCTAGGATCAACCAGATAATAAATAACAGAAGCACAATTGGATTTTTTCCTCCACATCCTTAACCCATAATAAACAATGCTTACTAAACTCCTTTTGATATGGTCATAATAACTATAATTATTTCAATTCAACATAAGAGACAAGTATATATGAAGGAAACTGATCCTCAAACACTGATACACATACACACACAAACACTAGATACACATACAGTATAACTTATTGATGGTGGTGGTTTATTCACTAGGTCATGTCCAACTCTTGCTATCTCATGGACTGTAACCTGCCAGGCTCCTCTGCCCAGGAGATTCTCCAGATAAGCTTACTGGAATGGTTTGCCATTTCCTTCTCCAGGGGATTTTCCTGACCCAGGAATCCAACCTGGGTCTCCTGCACTGAAGGCAGCTTCTTTACTGACTGAGCTATGAGGTAAGCTTCTACTATTGATAGCCATGTGGCATTTATTTCACTGAAGGTCTACTTTATCCTCTTCTCTTCAATTCCAATTCTCTTCTCTCTCCAATTAAATCAAAAACATAATCCCACAGACTCTCTTGAAATGTATGGACAATGACAATCCCAGTGGTAAAACAAATTGTTTTAATAATCAGAAAGACAAAGTAAGAATCTTGTTTTTCCCCACTTGCAACTTCATGATCTGGGGTATATTTCTTGGCAGCTTACAGTTTGTTTCCTCTAAAATCAAGTGAGAACGTTAATTACCACCTCACAGGCTGTTATGAGAAGTTATTGAGGAAACATTTATGATTGTATCTATCACACAGTTCAGGACACACAAAGAAACTTGACTTTTTTTTTTTTTTTTGGCTTGTGCACCCAGGAATAGGAAAAAAATTGACATTTTGAGCAATAATACAGAGAAACACTTAACCATGCTTGAAAGTTAGGAAGAACCATCTTCAACTTTACTTTTAAAGAAGCCACAGAGACCCATATTAGGCACAGTGGTTTATCCCAGGACGAGTTCTTCATGTTTGTGTTTGAAATAAACAGATTATGATTTAATATTCACATTATATCTTTTTGTGTGTAAAGTGTTTTTAAATTTTGTTTGCATTGTCATGATCAGTCTTAGTTATTAAATAAGTATCTCATGGCAAATGAAGAGTATCTGGTATTAGTGAGCTGGATCTTGTAAATTTCTTTATCTCTGTAAGCCTCAAATATTTTCATCTTCAATTTAGATTAATGATACTTACCAATTAATTACCTTTTGAAGAAAGGGGTGAAGATAATATGCTCTATTACTCAATTTAAATAGAGTTGAAATATGATGATTACTGTATATGGTGAGTAAGAATCTTTAATAAGCATCAGCTCTATTGAAAAGCTTACCTTCTGGTCTTAAATTATTTAATGATATTTGAGGGTGTTCAGAAATAATCCTGTCTTCAAATTGACCTCCTCTTGGGCTAAGTAACTTTCAGCATGAAAAATATGATGCATTCAAAATGGAATATTCAGTCTCACACTCGATAAGTCTTTTAATGAGTCTAAATCTTTCCTTCCAGTCTACAGCCTCAAAAACATTTCACAGACAACCTGGAAGTTGAATTTAGAATGGATTCACTCAGAACACTATGGAGAATGGTCATCTGTAGATGACTGTGGTCCCATAGGCAGAAGGCAGAATGTGTGGTGGAAACACATTCAGAAGGGTCACTCCAACCTCGATGAACCTTGCTCTGGAGAATGTAAATAACAAAAAAAAAAAGACATTTTCGCCTGTGATGCAAGGGTATTTAAAGCAGTTTCCACAAAAGTCCAAGGACTTTTCTTGTAGATTCTGTCTTCTCTCCCAGGAATTAATTATCTCTTTTGATAGAAAGGCTTTGCCTTGGAAGCAGGTATTCTGTAGAGACAGACCTGAGAAACACTCATTCTTGAGAGGGGAATTGTATTCACCGCAGTTCATTTCAGTTCTGTCACTCAGTCGTGTCCGACTCTTTGAGACCCCATGGACTGCAGCACACCAGATCTCCCTGTCCATCACCAACTTACAGAGTTTACACAAACTCATGTCCATTGAGTCGGTGAAGCCATCCAATAATCTCATCCTCTGTCATCCCTTTCTCTTCCCACCTTCAATCTTTCCCAGCGTCAGAGTCTTTTTAAATAAGTCAGTTGAAAACAGTCAGTATTCCCTGCACTTGCAACCAAAATGTGCAGGTCCCCTTTCTCTGTCTGAACCTGGATTTCTAAGAAAACTTAATGACATGTGGCTAGCAAAGATGGCTTACTTATAGCATGGGGACCTGTGACATAATATATGCCCTCATGTTGGAAAGAGAACTTCTATTTTCTTATAAATATTAAATCTTTTCTGAAAACCTAGTACTGATTTCTCGAGAGTTAGATAAGTGAGGGCATAATATTATTGGAAGCCATTTCAAAGTGCCTGAAATAAAAACCTTTTTAATTCCCCCTACATTCTTCTGAGGGCAATGGAAGTAAACAGAAAGTCTAACAGAATACAGATAATTGATCTCTGGGATCCTTATGGTGGTCAGTATTGAACACTAGGCAATACTAAACAAACATTTGGAGAGAGATCTAAAGCATAAGAAGGGAGCCAGAAATCAAACTACAAGTAGTTTTTCACATTATGGTCACTTTGTATTACTTTTTTTAGTTATTCTAGGAGGTATGCAACGATAAATTATTGAAGTTTTACTTTGTATTCCCTGATGGCCAATGATGTTGAGCATTTTTAAAAAGGTGGCCATGAGTGTATCTTCTTTATGGAGGAGGGGTATCTTGTCAAGTTTCTTCATACAATTTAAAAATTGAATTCTGGATTCTTATTTTTTGCTATAAGTGATTTTTATATAGTCTGGGTATACGTATTGTGTCATTTGTATTATACATATAAGATTTGTATATAAAATATTGTGCAAATATATGTAATTAAATATATATACAAACTTTTTTTATTCTCCTGGTCTTTGGCTTTCCTTTTATTTTTTAAAAGGGGTGACATCTGATGAGCAGGAAAGCAAGAGGATTCTTCTTTTAATTTTTATAGTTAATATTTATTGTATTTTACCTCATAAATACTATTTTACCTCAAGGTCAAAAATATTTCTTCTAGAATTTTTAAGTTTAGATTTCACATCCAGTTCTCGGACTCATTTTATATGAATTTTTATGTATAGTGTGAAGTACTGATTGAGGTTCTTTATTTTTCTTTGTATATGAATATCCAATTAATCCAATATTGTTTGAAAATATATATATATATATATGTATATATATATATATATATATATATTTACATTGAGTTACTTCAATAGCTTTGTTAGAAAATGTATATGTTTAGATCTGTTTATGAACATTTTGTTTCAATAACAGACAGCTTGGTTTGTGGGAATTTTATAGTATGTCTTGAATTTAGGTAGAATAAATTCTTTTATGGAGAATGCTTTTGTATTTCAAATTTTTAAAAGTAATATATTTCTATATAAATTTCAAAATAGAATTGTCAGTTTCTTCAAATATTCTGTGGACATATATCCCCCTTTACTTATATTTTTATTGAAGTATAGTTGGCTTATAATTTTCTGTTAGGTTCAAGTGTAAAACAAAATGATACAATTATATTGGGTTGGTCAAAATGTTTAGTCAGATTTCTCCAACAACTTTCGGAAAGAGTAGAATCAACTTTTTGGCTACCCTGTATATATTTTTAAAATGTATACCTCAAGTTTACTGTTTTTACTAGCATTTTGCATAGAATTTCATTTTCGAT